ACAGCCTAGTTTTGATTATGGTAGACATCTTTAAGCTGCGGGACGCTCGTTACGTACACGTGCAGTCGACGATGTGGAACCTTTTCGAAGGGGGGGGGTATGGCACCATGGAGGAGGTCTTTTCTGCGGCCCTGGCATACCTGGATCGCAGGTGGATGGAAACGGAGGCGTCTATCGAAGGTTTCTCGACTTTAGCCCGTGAGACAAGGCGGGCGCTGGAGGGGGTTTTGGGGCAGGGACCGTTGAATCTGCCGCATTTCCAGGCACTGGCGCAGGACGCGGGGTTGGGGTGGAGGTGACGACACGTAGGAATTGAGACGAGCGAAAAAATGGAAAAATATGTGAATTAAATCGAGCGGTCTATCTTTAAAGAAATACACAAGGCGCAGCCTCTAGGGACGGACGGAGTGTGGGGGGCGTGTGTACACATCTTCATTGATCGCCTCTCCGAAGCGTCCCTCTATTCCCAGGATTACCCGAAGCCAATCCATCTACCATTACTGTTCCCGTTCATTATACTCCACCCATTACACATTGCTTGTGACCTCGGTCCCCTCCGACACACCCTTCCCCACCCACCAAATTCATACACCCATGCAAATCAAACCTGCCTTCCAAGCCAAAATGCACTTCTATACGAATCAGCTTCCCACGCACTGAACGCCTCTTTCGATGAGGTGGAGCACCGGGGGAGGTACAAAGAGTGACGACCCAAAACCACACTCAGCTATTGCTCTGCCTCTAGCCTACACTACAATCTCCTACAATTTCACAAGCCTACAACTCACATGAATGCGCTCAATTCAACAAATGTTTTATTTCGCTCGATTGAAAGATTCCCTTGCTCGCCTTCAGCATGCTCGCTACAATGAATCGCATCCAACGCTGCATTTCATAACCCAACCGGCGCCATTCACCTCTCTCGTCTCACTGTCTCCCTTACTTACTCCCTTTCTGATGCAAAGGCCAGTCAGACAAAGGACACTTTTTCCCGAATATGTGCGCGCACGAGTGTGATCAAAAAGTGAAAAAGGCCACTATATGCGATGCGTCTCTCAATGCAGGAGGAATCCCCTTAAAAGTCCCTCTCGTGCACGTCGCCTATCCTATCTATTTTTACTCGGTCCTCCGGCTTTGCCTCGCAAATAATTCGCGCCAGCATTCCGGCGGATCGTTGCCCTTGATCGTATACAAACCTTGCCTACACTTCCACCGACCTTACTCTTCCCCTGTGAGTGGGCTACTACAGCGCACGTCACGATTGGAACCACTCGTACGAATTTCTCACGGAATATATCTCGCGTGACTTCCTCTGCGCTTATAAGGACATTGGGAACAGGACTGCATCTCTCTCTTCGTCACCTTCTCCGCGGTGGTCACGGCCTGGTTCCAGTTCGGCCATCTCCTCCAAACGCCCGCCACCGTCTTCACCGCCATCCTCCTCTTCATCGTCCTTGTGACTCCTCCGCAGCCGCTGCCACCAGACGGGCTTCCCAATCTCGCCCTGCTTCGCTCGGCCCCAATTTGAGGACCTCTTCGAGACCGAGGGAAGACATCCCCGCAGTCCCACCACCGCCGCTGTCTCCTCGTCCTCCTCCTCGTCAGCTGTCACCTGCGACGCCTCTCCCTCTTCCCCGTAAAAGTCCTTCCGGACTGCCTCCTCAAGCCATCCGTCCTCTTCGCGCGTCGCTCCTTTCCCCCTCCCTTCAGGGAGCGCTCCTTTCCCCCTCCCTTCAGGGAGCTCCGTCACCGATGTTATGGCTGCCGAGCGGTCACAAGGGGCGGCAGAGGCCACGGCTGGACGGAATGGACCGCCCCCGACCTGACCCGTGAAGTCGCCACGATTGCCGCGGTCGCTGGAGTGGTTGCAAACGTGACGTCTATCACATTCACCGTGACTGATATACGAGGCCTGTCGCTCGGCGGGACTCTCTCTTTTAGTGCATGCTTCCCGGAAGTTGCCGTGGTGGACACCCATGCCCTTGCTATGACCACAGCTACTGCTGCTGCAGCTGCTTGTGATGGAGCTGACATGAGGAAATGCCATTTGATGGTAAGGACCGCCATTGCGACACGTCCTGCCTGCACCACATGTGTGCTGGAAGGCAGTGAGATGGTCAAGTTTACTCTTCGAGAAGGGGCGAGGGCTCGTCTGCCCGCTTCCCTCCCCGCTCCCCCCAGCTGGAGAGGAGCGGTGGGACAGGTTCACTTCGTTCCAGTGTGCACAGGTTCTGATAGTACCATCCAAGGGGTTATTTTTGCTCGCGCCTCCTGACATGTAAGCCGCAGTGCCGCGAAGGTAGTCACAAGCAGGCCCATGGGGACAGAAATCCGCCCGGGGAGATAAGCTTTGCCGTCGCTGTTGCTGCTGAAGTTGGCGCTGCTGTAAATGCTGCCTGCACCGACGACGGTGCCACAAAAGGGCTTCGGCTGCGCTGACAAGGAGCCCGTCCAGCGTGATTCCCCCCGTCACGAATTGCGAGAGCGGTGTGCCGTACAATTCTTTCTGGAGACCGATCACAAAGACCGATCCACTCCTACCCGCTATCACGTCCAAAGTCTCCGAAAGCTCGGGTCGTGCACTTAGAACTACTAGCACCGTGGGTTGAGAGCTATCCTGTGGACCGGCAGCGGGCGCGCCGGAAGCGTGCCGGAGCAAATCCAGGCTCATGGAGACATCCAGTCCGCTTTCGATCAAAAGGGTGGTCTTTTCACCCACCTGCATGTTCTCTCCGCCCCCGTACAGCGATGCAATACTGCTGCTGCTTCCACTATTACTGCTGTAGAGGCTACTCGTGCTGCTTTGGCGGACTGGTTCCCACGTGTGCGGGTCAACGGCGGCGCCTGCCACTGCTTTCACAGCATGCATGCGGATACGAGCCGCGATTGGGGGTGCCGCCAAGAGACGTCCCAATGCGGTAGGCTGGCCCAGTGCTGTACTGCAGTCATGGAAGATGCTGTAGTGTGGGATAAAGCGGGTGAGGCGTGACTGAGAAGGGCAAGGTAGGGGATGGGGGAGATGAATCTGGAAGGCTGCATGGGTCCAGGTAATGCCATCGCAAACCAAGGGGTATGAAATACAGGTTGAGCATCTCACAATACAAGTATGTACTACTATATCACGTCTTATACTTCTGGATATAGAGCGCTTATCATCAAGTGGCTGGAAAAGCGCTTGTCCGAACAGGGTCCGCCGGGGGG